ATGGAATTGATGAAAATGAAGGTGAAAGCTGGGAAGAAAGCGAAATGAAGGTAAAATATATATATATATATATATATATATATATATATATATATATATATATATATATATATATATATATATATATATATATATATATATATATATATATATATATATATATATATATATATATATGTATATATATATATATATATATACATATATATATATATATATATATATATATATATATATATATATATATATATATATATATATATATATACATATATAAATATATATATATATATATATACATATATATATATGTATATATATATATATATATATATATATATATATATATATATATATATATATATATATACATATATATATATATATATATATATATATATATATATATATATATATATATATATATATATATATATATATATATATATATATATATATATATATATATATATATATATATATATATATATATATACTATATACTATATATCAATCAAGGTGAGGGGCTAAAGTCTAAAATACCTAGCAACATAGTTGTTTTTAACAAAACTAGTTTAAGCAAACCTTTATTTCATATACTAAAACTCTCATTAAAGTTTGGTGTTTTCCCTGATGCTCTTAAAATAGCTAAAGTAATCCCAATTTACAAAGGTAACGATCATTCGAACATTACAAATTATAGACCTATATCTTTACTTTCTGTATTCTCAAAATTGTTTGAACGCGTAATTTAAAATAAAATATTCGAATATTTCAATAAAAATAACTTATTCAAAATAATTCGGATTTCAAAAAAATCACTCAACTGAGCATGCAATTATTGAAATAGTCAACCAAATAACTGATGGGTTTGACAATAACAAATTTACTTTAGGAGTATTTATAGATCTATCTAAAGCATTCGACACAGTTTACCATTGCATTTTCTTACAAAAAATTAAGCTCTATGGTATAATTAATACAACCTATTTCTGGATTAAAAAGTTTTCTTACTGATAGAAAGCAATATGTTCATAATGTGCAATCCGTAATATTAAATGTTGTTTGCGGAGTTCCACAAGGATCTTTGGTCCGCTCTTATTCTTAATCTATATTAACGACTTTTGTAATGCATCATTAAAACTGAATTCAATAATGTTTGCAGACAATACTAATTTATTTCTTACCAATAATCATATCAAACATCTTTATACAGATATGAACATAGAATTGAATAAAGTAAATAGTTGGTTTAAAGCTAACAAACTCACACTTAATGTTGAGAAAACCAACTATACTCTAATCCATAAAAAAACTCAAGAATTAAACATTCCTGTTAAATTGCGCGAACTGTACTTAAATGATACAATAATTAAAAAGCAAGCAAGTATAAAGTTCCTCGGAATCCTTGTCGATGAAAATTTATCCTGGCTTCCCCATATAAATTACATACGTTCAAAAGTTACCAAAACTATTGGTGTAATATATAGGGTTAGACCATACGTCAATATGTTAAGCCTCAAATTAATATACTTTGGACTGATACACTGTTTTATTAATTATGCAAATATATCATGGGCAAGTACACAAACTTCAAAACTTCAAAAAATTTATAGGCTCCAAAAACACGCTTGCCGTATTATATACTGCAAACATAAACGTGAACATGCAAAACCTCTTATGAGAGATATGAAAATGATTGATATATTTGAAATAAATAATTATCAGCATCTAATTTTTATGTATAGATACTATAACAACCTTTTGCCAGCAAACTTCAAAGATAAGTTTGAAATAAATTCAAAAGAAAAGTATGGTCAAAGATCAAATAGAAATAAAAACTTTAAATTGCCTCGGAAATGTAATAAATTCTCAGAATTTTGTATATCTTATCGAGGACCTAAATTATGGAATGACTGTCAAAAGGAATTTAAATTTATGGTGAAGTCTTTAAATTCATTTAAGTTTCAATTAAAAAAAGAAATTTTTAAAATTTGAATTAAGATAAAGTTTTTTCTTTTACTTTATTGATTAGTTTAACCTTGTCTAGACTTTTTTAATGATAACACTGTTATTAGTATATTAGTTATTAGTTTTTATACGAGCTATTTATTCTTACGTTGTTTTCTTTAAACTTGTACCTAGGGGTTCTATGAAAAGATTGCGATAACGTAATGTTATCCTTATCTTCTTTGAGCCCCTATCTGGTTTAACTTAATTTTGTTGTAATGTATATACTTTTATATTTTATTTTATGAGATTCCATATGTATACGTGCATTGTAATAATATTATACGATGTTAATCAGAAAAAAAAAAAAAAAGTCCCAGGCCCTGCAAATTTAGGGGCCCCAAAAATTTTAGAGTATTCTTTTTTTTTTTTAGTCATTTTTAGGCTATGACCCATAAAAAGGCCTCCAAAAACAAAAATAGCCCCGGGCCCCAAGAAATCTTAATCCGCCACTGTGTATTATACTCGTATAAACACACACACACACACACACACACACACACACACACACACACACACACACGCTTGTAAATATATATTTATTTTTAATTGTTTAATTATAGATAAAAATTCACAAATATTAGGTTTAACTTCTCAAGAATCTTTTATACTATCTGAAAAACATTATCTTCTAGTATTGTGTTGAAGTACAGCTATCTAAATGTCTATTTCAGTATTCCGAATGTTATTAGAATAAACTGAAAAACTAGTGTTGTGACCAAAACTAAAAATTGTAGCTAACTAAACTAATAAAACCGTAACTAAAATTAGTCAATTAACTTTTTAGTTAACTAAAATTAGTCGACTAATTTTTTAGTTAACTAAAATTACCCGACTAACTTTTTAGTTAACTAAAATCAGTCGACTAACTTTTTAGTTAACTAAATTTACCCTACTAACTTTCTAGTTAACTAAAATTACCCGACTAACTTTTCAGCTAACTAAAATTACGCGACTAATCCTTTAGTTAAATAAAATTACCCGACTAACTTTTTCGCTAATTAAAATTACCCGACTGACATTTTAGTCTAACTAAAATTATTCAACTAACTTTTTAGTTAACTAAAGTTAACCGACTAAGTTTTTAGTTAACTAAATATACCCGACTTTGTTTTTAGTCCAACTAAAGAAATTTATAAGTATATAAAATAAATTATTTTTGAATAAATTTGCTAATGCATAATCATTTTACTGCATAACACCTAAAAGTTAAAAAAATATCAAAATAATTTTATTTCAATTTTTAATGCCGAAAGTTTAACGAGATACTTCAAGAAAATATTTCATAAAAAATCCAAAAAGTAAACATGGTAAAACACAAATATCTTTAGAGTTGAATAAGCTACCAATAACAGCGCAAAGAGGTGAGGGGATGGGGTGGTTGGTTTGTGTGTGACATCCCATCAATGAACTTTTAGCTCATATAGTAAACCAATCTGACCCTTTTAGATAAGTAAGTTGGCAAACGTAGATTTTCAGAACAGTCACTTGGAAAATTTAAAAAAACAAGGACTTTATTTTCCTTTTTCTAGTCAGCTAAAATTTTAACAGCGCTCTCTACGTGTTACCTTGTTGTGCCGGCTCTGTAAGCTACAGTATATTATAATAATTCGTTTTTATTATGAGTCAATTTTTTTGATCCAAATTATAAAAGTTTTAATACATTTTATTGTTCTTAAATAAATATTATTAAATTTAGTATTCGAACTCTTTTGTGTGAAATTGATTTTTTTTTTTTTTTTGTTACAATAATGTAAAAAATTGATATCGTTTTTTAAATTTGAAATGTGTTTTTTAAAAAAAAATAGTAAAGAACAAAATTAAAAATTAAAAAAATTAATATGTAATTTTAATTAGGGTTCATTATCGAAATTGCAATTTTCGAAAATTTTTGATTAAAACGTTATTGAAATACTTCTTTTTTTTCAAAATCTAAAAATACTATCGAAAATAATCGAACTAGCAATATTAACTTCGAAAAAAAAAAGTAATTTAGAAATGTGAAATTAATTTCGAAATAAAAAGGTGGATTTCGAAATAGGAAATTTATTTCGAAAAGAAAAAAAGAATTTCGAAATGTGAAATTAATTTCGAAAAAAAGAGATAGATTTCGAAAAGGGAAAAATATTTCGAAAAGAAAATAATAATTTCGAAGTGTGCAAATAGTTTCGAAAAAAACCAAAATATATTTGATAAGCTAAATTAATTTTGAAAATGAAATTATATTTCAGAAAGTTTAATTTATTTCGGAAAAAAAAATTTTTATAGAAAGTTAAATTTATTCTAAAATAAAATAACGTCAAATTAACGCTGTAAATTTTAAAAGCATAACTTATAAATGCAATTTTAATACCTTAAATTTTATTTGCATAATAATACTAAATAACCAAATTAATTTACTATGGGTATCCGCAGGTAACAAGGCCGACGACAATGTGCTCCTCCCCCTATTTTTTCTTAAGGCCCTTTTTTTTTTAAAGAAAAATCTTGATATAGAGATAATTGTGCTCCACCCCCCCCCCCCACTTCAAAACCCTTTATTTTATATATATAGGGTAAACCTTTTATTTTATATATATATATATATGTATATATACATGTATACATATATATATATATATATATATATATATATATATATATATATATATATATATATATATATATATATATATAATATATATATATATATATATATATATATATATATATATATATATATATATATATATATATATATATATATATATATATATATATATATATATATATATATATATATATATATATATATATATATATATATATATATATGAATATATATATATATAGGCCCGCCCAGAGCTTTTGTGATGCCCGGGTCCAAAAGTTTAATGGATGCCCTATCATACTTCAGGTCTTAAAATAGCAAATAAATTAATATAGTTTACTTTCATAAAAAACCTAAAATCACATTTAATTTTGGTTTGCAAGAACAAACTATGATAAAATCAATTCTTAATTGACAAACACATCTTCCGGGCCTTCTTAGCAGCAAAATTTGAAATAACTTCTTCATAATTAACGTTAATGGCTAAATCTGATTCGATTGAAAGGATCATCAAGTAGCACAATCGCTCCTGGCCCATTGTGGAACGAAGATAATCTTTGATGATAGCTAACTTGCTGAAAGATCTTTCTCCTTCAGATATTGAAACGGGCAATGTTAGAAAGATTCTAAGAGAAACACACACTTGCGGAAATATTAAATGCAGCTCCTTTGCATAAACTTCATTTAGAAGTTCGACAGGCTTTTCGCTGGCTAGAATATTTCTTCTTACGGAAAAAAAATGCCGAACTTCATCAGAAAATTCGTTTTTACATAAGTCTTCTGGGTAAAGTTTAGCCAGATTCTCAGCATTTAAACCTAGTTCTTGGTCTGTTTGAGATTTCTGTAAAGACCAGAAAAAAGGAAGGAAAACTTGCTACATTCCTCTTCTATTACTTTAAATCTTGATCTCATTTGACTAGTCAGATTGTCGAGTGCAACATTGAAGACATTACACTCAAAGTTTTTTGATGCTTCTTCGTGGTTGTAACCAGCAGTTTCATCTGGGATGATCTTTTTTCGCGTTCTCTTCACAGTAAACATTATTTTATCAAATTTCAAGTTCTTTGCAACTTCTGTTGCCTCTATCAAAATCAGGTCCCAAGACAGACGGATTCGATCGAGATCCATCAAAAGGCCATTTAGAATCTTTACTTCATCATCGAGAGTGAGTTGAGTGGATTGAAGCAGAAGACTCACGTTATTAACTGCCATCAAACATTTAAACCAAAAAGTAGTGAAAACAACAAATTCAAAAGAATTCATCCATTTAATGGATGAATTCTTTTGAATTTTTAATCATTACTACTTTCGCCTGGAAGGTCTAACTCTTTTAGACGATGTAATGATTTCAAGATCTCTCTTGGCTTTTTTGCTAGTGGTTTAACTGATTCAATCCTTGAACGCCATCGTGTAACAGAAAGTTTATGTAGTGATTGGCCTGTCTCCTCCTGAAGAATTTTCCAACGAACTGGGCTGCTGCTGAACAGATTGTATAGCTTTTGAATATTTCCAAAATAGGATTTTGCAGGAGCCGATGATTCAATAGCGTGTACTGCACATAAGTTCAAACTGTGAGCAGAGCAAGGAATGAAAATTGCTTGTGGATTATTCTGTTTTATCAAAGCTTGAACTCCATTGTAAATACGTAGCCTTGACCACGACAATTTTTTATGTCGAGCTCATTCTCTTCCAACACATTCAATATCAACTTTGTTATATCAGATCCCTTCTTCTTTTCAAGTTCTTCTAGCTTAAGGAATCTTTCTTTGACCTCCCACAGCTGATTATCATTGAAATGCAAAAAACGAAAAACAAAAGTTATTTGCTCGCTGTGGGACGAATCGGGAGTGCTGTCCGTAATGATGGTGAAATATATTGATTTTTTGATTTCTCGAATAACTTCTCGAACCACTAATTTGCCGCATTCCTTGATAAATTCATTTTGTGATTTCCAAGATAAATAATGAGCTTGCATGCGTTTTTCTTCTTCTTGGTGCTTAGCAATAAGATGCATATGATCTTGTAATGTTTTGTTGTGGCGAGCAATTAATTCGAGCGCTCCAAGGAAGTTTCCATTCGCATTTTTGAACAACTTTTGATTGGATCCTAATTACAAACAAAAAGTAATCAAAATAGTAATCCATATTTATATCCAATTAAATCTTGTAATTTTGATTTTTAATTTACAAATAAAATAATGCAAAATATAATTTAAAATTTAAAAACAATATTCTTACCCCTAAAAGCTAAGTTTCTTGAAGCTAGAAAAATTGTGACGTCAAGAATGCATTGTAAAATTACTTTCCATCTCTTTGTTTCATCTCCAATTTGTTTTTCTAACTGATGCTCAATGGACTTTTGACTTTTCAAGTGAATCGTAGCTGTTTTCCATTGGAGATAACAGTTACGATGAAAATCGCTTTGTTGATGACTTTTAACGCGATCTGAAAGTTTTCTTCAATTTCCATGTATACCTCCATTCCAAGACAACAAACTGGATTAAACACCGGGTCTGGTTAAGTTAGGCGATCCAAAAAGGGAGCAAGGGAAACAAAAGAGTGATGCCACAGCCTTACTCCAAACGAGCCAATCTCTTTTAACTTTTTCTCCGTTTCTTTGTTCCTCTAAAAAGATATAAGTAGGGAATTTGCGTTCTTTTTGATCTCTTGGAAAATTGCTAGGATTTGAAGAAGGCCCCATCAGAATTATATTCGTTCGATCAGTGTCTGATATTGATTTCCATAGTGCAGGATCGTTAGAGATTGGTATAGAAAGATCACTTTTATAAATTTGTTGGTCATTGTGACAATCAAGTACAAAATCCAACTGATCCTTTTTTAAATGTGATGATGTTTTTTGGGAGTCATCGATGTCATCGGCAAGAAAAAGTTTGTCGGAATTATGGTCTGGCAACTCATTAGAGTCATTGATACCGATCTCAATATCATTGAACTATAAAGAAGTATTAAACAGAATTATTCTAATTATTTTTTCATGAACGTCACAAGATTAAAAAATAGTTTAACTACCTGCTTGCATTTATCTTCGATTTTTGTCCAACGAACGCAATCTAAAAGCGTTCGTTTGTTTTTGCTTTCGTTTTTTTTCCGAATCATCGCTCTTTTTCTCCCAGCAGCTCCAGACAGCTGTTTCAATCGTGGAGGTTTTTGATTATTCATGCTAAAACTTATGACGATATAAAGAATTTTAACTTTTTAAATTTTAAAAATTAAAATTTTATAATACTTTGGTGTTATTAATTGCAGAGAAAAAGTCAGTACTTACAATTAAAATATCCACTGAAGATAAGTTTCTTATCAAAATATAGTCGGAACAAAATGCAGGCGAGTCAAAAACATACATATGCACAAAAGTATCCACAGGGACGCAAGGTTTAAGCAAAAATAAGTTAAACTATCAGAAGTCAGGCTTTTACAAACGTTAAACAAAAATACTTCAATACTATATAAAGTTAAACCCTTACTTAATATGGAGTCTTTGAAAAAGATATATTTTTCATTTACGGAGAATTGGGGCACAATGGGTCGGATTTCTTTCTTTTTTAATTTGAGTGAAAGTTAAAGTATATATTTTATCTTTGTCAAGACTAAAGGATTGTCCTTCATGATAAGAAACCACTAAAACCTAAATATTTACTATCAAACAGCTCACAAAAAGGTTTAAAGTGAGTTGTGTTAAGTGATTCACTTTCCCCAGTACTGGGGTACAGTGAATCAATTAACACATCTTCAATTGAGTGGTAGTTGATGGGGGCGTAGCCAAATAATTTTGAGGATTAGGGTGTAAATACATTGTACACTATACTTTTGGCGCACTTTGGGTAATTAAAATTAAATAATTTAAATTTTTCTGATTGAAAAAATAAAGAATAAATTTTATTGATAATAAAACTTATTCAACCATCTAAAATCACAAAAAAACATTTTACCTAATAAAAGTTATTTAACCAACAACAAAAGAAGTTTTTAAAAGTGAATTTTTATAAACATTTTTATCACAGTGAATCAACCGATTCACGGTACCCCGAATCATTGTGCGCCACCATAAAAAATAAGGTTCAAGTTTAATTTCTTGGAACATGAGTGTTATTAAAGGAAAAGCAAAACTACTAAAATGAAGCATAAGTATCAGTATTTCGAATATAAAAATTTAACTTATAAAATGATTTTAACAATGATCTCCACAACAAACAATCTTTCCTATTGTAATCTTGCATTGGTAAGTACCAATTATGAGAAATATATCGATGAAAATCTTACATGGAAATGCCACATTGCTAACTTGTGCAGTAAAATTTCAAAGAGTATAGGCATTTTATACAAAATAAGAAACGTTCTTGATAAAAATACCTTAATTCAATTATATTATTCGTTAATTCATTGCCATATCAACTATGCAAACATTGCTTGGGGTAGCACTTATAAAAGTAAACTTAAACCTCTCTATCGGCAACAGAAGCATGTAGCACGCCTTATAAATTTCAAGGACCGTTTTGCTCACGCCAAGCCTCTTTTATATGATATGAAAGCACTCAATATATATGAGTTAAATGTTTTTAATATTCTTTGTTTTATGTATAAATGCAAGACCAACCTATCACCCGTTTCTTTTCGTAACTTGTATTTACAAAGAGATAGAAATAAATATATTCTAAGGAACGATAACTTAATTCGACAACCATTTTCTCAAACTAATTTTGGAAAATTTTTTATTTCATTTCGCGGACCATTTTTATGGAATAGTATAGTTCTAAATACTTCTAAAGATTTTTCTCAAGAATGTAATTTTGATTCTTTTAAACAAAATCTTAAAAAACTCATTTTTTCAACTGAAAATATACTAATCTACTTTTAAATTTTTGAAAATCACTTGTCTATATTAGTATATGAATATATTTAATGTACATTCTTTTTTATTTATTTTTTTTTTTTATCAACAAACAATTATTTAACATGTTTTATTTTAGTGAATTATTTAACATGTTTTAGTTTTTAAGTTTTAGAACTCTTCTATTGTAATATTGTATGTTTATTTATAATATTATATTACGAACTTTATATACTTTTATTAATAAATTTAATTTTGTAATAAAAAGAAACTAAACAAAAATAAATAAATACAAAAAATGAAAACATTGAAAAAAATAATAATAATAATAATAAAAAAAAAAAATAAAAATAAAAAAAAAAAAAAAAAAAACGTTCAAAAGCGGTTTCTCTGTGACAAGACCTGATGGTCTTCTTTGAGTATTCGCGTTCTTTATATTTATTAATATTCTTTATATTATTATATTATTCTTAACGATATCTTGACTTGTTACCTTTTCTTTTTTTATTTTTTATATTATTTGTATCTGTATCATAAATATTGTAATAAAGAACAAAAAAAAAAAAAAAAATAAAAAAAAAAAAAATAAGAAAAAAAATTTTTTAACGCTTTTTATTCTATCATGCGAACAAAAGGCCAATGAAAACACGAGCGTTCAAATGGATAATGAAAACCTTGTAAAGTAATAATTATCCTATTTTAAATGCAAACAAAGTTTAAAAGGAGAAAGAAATTAATACACAAAAATTGCTTAATCTTTAAATACGTTATCAGCTAAATTTTTTATCATTTCAATAATTTTTTTTTAAGGCATGTGATGCCCCATAGACTGTGATGCCCGGGGCAAACTACTTATGTATATATATATATATATATATATATATATATATATATATATATATATATATATATATATGTATATATATATATATATATATATATATATATATATATATATATATATATATATATATATATATATATATATATATGTATATATATATATATGTATATATATATAAATATATATATATATATATATATATATATATATATATATATATATATATATATATATATATATATATATATATATATATATATATATATATATATATATATATATATATATATATATATATGTATGAATTGAGTTTTAAATAAGCTCTAGGAATAACAAAATTATCAGATAGGTATTAATGAGATATTTCTGCAAAGTAAGAGTGAAATATATTAAGAGATAACGCATGTTTTGATTTAAACGTAAAAAGCATAACTTGGTATATGTTAAGTTTATAGACATTAAGCACATAAAGTTTCTTTAAAAGAGATTCATCATTAACAGTTCTGTTAACACCAAATAT